TTATCAGATCAGATTATACAGATTCGAGCGTCTAATTAGGATTTTAATGATGTCAAATTTCGCTAATAAAATTTTTGTATTATTTCGCAATTTGTGTTATCTCCGAGATGAAATATTAAATGGCCGTCATATTTATTAATTAATTATACATATCTATTTATTATAGTTATAATTGACTTGTAGGAGTTACTAAATTAAAAAAGTGACTTTTTCCGAAAGGTATAAATTTATTTACTAAATCTAACTTTAATGGACTGGGTGGGCCATAACCAGTCACTTAAAAGAGAAGGATAAATTAGTATGGAAACTAGGAAGTCAAAGTGAAAGTGAAAGAGAGAAAATCAATGGCGTACAGATGATTCAATTAGACAATTGTCCTTCTGCATCTACCAACCTCAAACTGCGTAACAATAGGGTGGCAGGGCTGGCAAAATGCAACGCCCAAGAGATATTATATTCTTTGGAAGAATGAGAAGTCTCAGTGGGGACTACAGAACATTCCCTCTCGCCTAAGAGAGGAGGGCTATGGCCATTAGTCGTACATATACAACGTGTAATGGAGTACATTGAAAATCTCGAAGTTTATTAAAATTAAACTGAGTACAACGTGACGATTTTTACTGATAGGGCACCATCAAAAGAATTGCCACGAAAGAAGATTTGTCACGGGCCCCAGATGGTATATATACATACTGCTTCTATTGAGCAGTTAGCTTTTCAGACAACTGCTTCTATTGAGCAGCTTAGCATCTTAAAAGAATGTAGTGATACTTGCAGTAACACTTCATTAAGTATTAATAATTTAAATTAGATAGTGTGACAATAGAGGCAAACTCTAGCAATAATTTAGTACAACTCAGCTCAACACAAACATGTAATATTACTAACAACTGTTTAAACTTGATGCATCAAAACATGCAAGGTATGTTGGGCAAAGAATTAGAATTGGAGTTGTTTTTAAAATCAAGTAAAATTGATGTCCGATGCATTACCGAACATTGGCTTAGAGAATGCCAAATCATCTTTAACTTTGATCAGCACCAAGTTGCAAGTTCGTTTTGCAGATTGTCGGCGATTCATGGGGGCTCTTTGATTATTGTTAATAAAAATTTAAAGTATAAAGAGCGTAATGACATCGTGTGTCTGTCTGTAGAACACTCTTTGGAAGTAGCCTGTATAGAGACTGAGAATTGCATTATTTTAAGTGTTTACAGACCACCAAGTTCATCTTACGATTTTTTTGAAGGAAAGTTTGAGGAAATTTTGGGTAAAGATAGTTTTAAGAACAATAAGTATATTATTGTATGTGGTGACTTCAATATAAATTTATTAGAAAATACCTCCATTAGTAAAAAATTCAATCTGTTATTAAAATCTTACAATCTTGTTAACTTGTTTCTTGAGCCCACTACAATTACAAGCTCCACTGCTACATGTATAGATAATGCATTTACAGATGCAGAGGCAATGCAAACCTCTATTACAACTGATCTTAGCTCAGATCATTGTGGACGGTTAGTGGCGCTAAAATGTAAAGTGGTGAAACAAGTAAATAAGAGCAGTGTGTTTGTTCCAGTAAATAAAAAGCGAATGGTGAGATTTAGACATAATATAGGTAAACACCTACCTTTATTACCGGTAGGTACTACCGTTGATATACAATACAACAATCTAAGTGATTGTATTAATAAAGAGTTCAACACCATCTTTACCCCAAAGAAAGTCTCTCATTCGTAGTGTAAATCGTTTAGTGATTAGGCGACAGCGGAAATTTATAAAAGTAGACAACGGTTGTATGACCTTTACGCTGAAAAGTCATACAATCATAATGAAGAATTTATTCATTATGTTCGAAATTATTTAAGAAAGTTTGTTACGCGGCCAAGTCCTTAAATATCAAAAACAAGATAAAAAATAGTACCATTAAAACTAAAATGACTTGGAAGATAATTGATAGTGAAACTGGAAGAGTCAGGGATCGCAATCGAGACATCGAACTATGTGTCGATAACACTATAATCAAATCTAACGAAGAGATAGCGATTGTTTTTGATAAGTACTTTTCTGACATTCCAGTTTCGACTACTAAGTCTCTTCAATCATCTCCCGCCCTCGCTGAATCGCTGCTCAAAGATAATGTAAACGAGTGCAAGGTCAGTTTTACATTCCGACCCATTGGTGCCGACGATATAGTGAGGATATTTAGAACCATAGATATTAAGAACTACCGATCTTTGGGGTATTTCTATAATTAGTAGCATAATTGATGTAATTGCTCCCCATCTAGCTATAATTTTCAACAATTGTATTAAAAGTGGCGAGTTTCCCGATCTAATGAAACATAGTAAAGTTATTTCATTATTTAAAGCAGGTAGTATGTCCGACCCCAGTAACTTTAGACCTATTTTCAGTACTACCTACTTGTAGTAAAATATTTGAAAAAATTATATTAAATCAACTGGTAAGTCATTTTAACGTAAACAAATTATTACATAATAATCAGTTCGGTTCTACCAAGGGTCGCTCGATAGCCGATGCCGGTGTTGAGTTATATAGATATATAGTTATGGCTTGGGAGGAGTCACATGACGCTTTAGGTGTTTTCTGCGACTTATCCAAAGCATTTGATTGTGTCCAACCCGAGACCTTAATCGGGAAACTCCGCCACTATGGCATCAAGAATACCGCACTGAATCTTCTGACTTACACGGAAGAACTCAGAAGGTTGAAGTGAATGGTAAGAGATCCTCTGGGTCGGCAGTAGATATGGGGGTACCACAGGGCTCAATTCTTGGCCCTTTCCTCTTTCTTGTTTATATAAATGATCTACCTTTCATGGTAGAGAGAAAACATCAGATAGTTTTGTTTGCTGATGACACGTCCTTGATTTTTAAAATCAAACGGCAAATAACAAATTTTGACGATGTGAACAATGCTCTATCTTCGATTGTCCATTGGTTTAGTATGAATACTTAATGCAAAAAAGACAAAATGCATTAAACTTTGTGCAAAAAATGCAAGGGTTATGGATACTAGACCAATTATAAACGGTGAGGAATTGAATCTGGATGATACAACTGTATTTCTCGGAATCACCATGGATTCAAAACTTCAGTGGTCCCCTCATATTAACGGATTGGCGAAGAGACTTAGTTCTGCAGCCTACGCGGTTAAAAAAATTCGCTCACTAACTGATGTCGATACAGCTAGACTTGTTTATTTTAGTTACTTTCATAGCTTAATGACTTATGGCTTATTATTATGGGGTCATGCTGCTGATGTCGAAACTATTTTCATCCTGCAGAAGAGGGCTATTCGTGCAATCTATAATTTAAAATGTAGGGAATCTCTTACAGATAAATTCAAGGAAATTAATATACTTTCCTTTCCCTCGCAATATATTTATGAAAATATTATGTATGTATACAAAAATAGTGATAAGTTTACTAGAATAGAACATACGCACAATGTTAATACACGGAACAAACGCAGGCTGCAATTTCCCCGTACTAGACTATCTAAAGTTAGTAACTCTTTTTGGGGAAGGGGATACTCTTCTTTAATAAAATTCCAGAGGCTCTTTTATCTCTGCCTTTCAATAAATTTAAGAAATGTATTAAAGAAAAGCTGTGTAAAAAGGCTTACTATAAAGTCAACGATTATCTAGTTGATAAAAGGGCCTGGGACTAGTGCTAGACAGGCTACTTCTAATTAATTTGAGATATTTGTTTTAAATAAGTGTTGTTTGATGATTTGCTGTTTTAAAAGAGTACCGAGAGTTTTTTACGCCGGCTTTTTCTCTCGGCCCTCTGTCTTCTTTGCCGATGAGTAGGGATGCCTACAAACTAAAATTTTAGGACGTGGAATAAGTGATATATGTATCTTATGTTCCATAATAAACATTTTTTTTTATAGTTACGCCACTGGATAACTACGAGCGATTTTTTTACAAAAACCTTGGCATCGCTATCGCTATTAGAAGGTACCGCACTGTTAGAGAACTGGCACTGATTTTACCTTAATGTACCCAATTTACCCAATTTTACCTTATATGAGTATGTAAAAGAAAGGTAACAGAAAGGGTAACATTATTTAACGAAATAAATGTTGTATGAAATAAATAAACGCATCTTTTTATACCGTTGTTCCACACCTCCATAGCTCGAAGGCTCGATAACAAAAATTCGTTGAATTATAAGAAAATTGTTTCTGTTGCGTTATAATAGTAATAAAAAGCATAAGTTTCTTAATCTTTATTTTTTATAAAATTTTGGTACTTATATAATTCTTAACAACCACTGGGTATAAAACTTACTGAGTATTTTAAGTTCCCTTAACTTAGTTTTGTTACTTACGAGTATTGTTTGTATGTTAAACGAGGGATATCAAACATTGCAATGCATTATTAAATAGTAAATGTAAATTTAGAATAAATTGAACATCTTTTCTGTTGATGTTCATAAGTGTAGTTGGTTACCTATATGAATAAAGTTATTTTGAGTTTGAGTTTAAATGCCTGCGGAGTGAGAATCTCAAATAAAACGACGGTGCATTTCGTTTGATTTTGATTGGTTAACAGCATCTCTAGTCCAAGCTTATACGCGACATAATTTTTCGTCATTTTGACCAATCTCAATCGAACTCAGTTGACCCTGATGCATTTGCTTGATCCCTTAAAGATATATTATTCTGATGGTGGACGTTCTCTTGTTTTGGAGGCCAAAACTCACTTTCAGTCGCCAATTTTGCCACGTATTATTTTGCAAACTATTGGTTTATTCATATATAAGATAGGTAACGTTATTTTTAAAACTATAAATAAATAATAAATTGTTGCTATTATCACACTTGTATTTTGAATAGAAAGTATTGATTAGATACGTGTTTATCGTAATTAAGTGTTTAAATTCCCGGACTGCAAGCCATAGGTACTAAGTATTTTGTAATTTCTTTGCCTTGTAATTTGTATGCAGTACAATTTCAGTTAAAAAGGGAAAAGTCTATATATAAAAAGTTTTATCTACTGTCAGACTCCTATACGCCCCATAGGGACCCTCCTCAAGGTCATTATCCAACGATTTGCAGGACTGACTCCGAGATATATCATAAGAACTTATACTAAGAAGATTTCGAAGACTTCTATTCTGACGACGTTTGTCTGGTTTCAATTCCGTTTGGTAGAACTTTTGCTCTTCGATTTGGAGCCATTTTGAATTAAGTAGAAGTTTCTTTGTCCATTCATCTGTAAAATAAAAAGTGTAGCTAATTACAATATCCATCGTATGAATCCATTTTATGAAATGGCGAGCCCAAACTGTTAATAAAATAAAAAAAATAAAAATGTGTTGATTTATTTTATGTATTACAATGTGTAAGATTTGGGAACTTTTTTAAGTAAAAAATACCTGTGTCAGGGTTCCCAGCTCTTCCATAACATACTTAAGTATAAACTCCTTAAAATATATTTATATATTATCTAATTATATAATAATGATGACTGGTCCTTTCTTCGTTTGGCTATAATTATCGTATGAAGATGACTATATGTAAGATATGTTTAAGTGTAGGCTTTTTGAAGATGTAGTTTAATCAGAATCTTTGTTTTGGTTTTGCCTAACCTTTCCTTATAGAAAGAATACCTGTTCGGTTTTACGACGCATGACGCTATATTAGGCCTGTACCTAATATAGCGTCATGCGTCGTAAAAAATATCTGAATAACGTATCTATTTATGTATTCTTATGTAGCCAAGTCCACATTTCAAGGATCGTCATGCTCAAGCTTAAATGTCATTGCTTGTTGGGCGGCGTCCATGCGTCGCGTTTGTCTCTCTCCTAAAAATATGGCGAGGGGGCCGATGGCTGGCCATGCGTCATACTCGTGAACGGGTGCTACTTGTGGTGACTGTCGTGTTTGAAACTTGAATTCGTGTATGCGGTGATGTTAATTATTTCGACTATGTGTTTGCGTGTTGTTCCCACGAGAATGTAAGTGCGTGCTCCTATTTCACCATGCCTCCTGCTGATAGGGGGACAAGTATGTTTATACTTTTTTTTTTATTTATGTTATTATTATTAATTACTTAAAATGTCATGTGGAACATGGTGTAATGGTTGCAGCTCCTTACAAACGTTGTGTAAAAAAAAAAAAAAAAACATGGCGATTAAAAAGAGTGGCGGAGAGTTTATTGCCAGTTCTTCTCTTCCGTTCTACGCCCTTGATTTGAGAACTGGCAGTAAATGTAAAATTAGAAGCATGAATATTTATTTCTTTAATGACGAATCACAAGTGTACATTGTGTTACCTACGTGAATAAATGATTTTTTTAATTTTTAATTTTTGAAATTTTATTAGAATGACAATAATGAATATTTCTTTTTTCATATAATAATTTGACTGTATTTATTGAAAACTAGCTGGCCTGGCGAACATCGTATCGCCTAACAGTCGATTCTTTATTTTTTTAAAATACTTATTCTGCTATTCGGGACACCGGTCTAGCTAGTAAGATAAAAAAAAGAAAGTTGATAAGACAACAAATACATTATGTTAAAAAAAAATGTACCTTCCCGGAACCCCTCCACTAACACTTGAACTTTATGATATGGCATTAAAGTTTAAATTGACTTTTAAGTATTATTACAAATATTTTGTATGGGAATATAGAAAAGTGTTGTTTTTAGACTTTTTCACTCGTTTTTTTTTTAATTTTTCTCTCCGTAAGAACCATCCTCGTACTTCAAGGAATATTATAAAAAAGAATTGGCCAAATTGGTCCAGGCGTTGTTGAGTTATGCGCTTACAAACACATTTTGCGATTCATTTTTATATTATAGATGTTCATTATTCATAGATCTTGCCAGGCGATTTCATGAAACAACATCGATATATATTTTCTTTCGTTTATGATGATGATGATGCAATATTTTTCAATTGATGTCACAAGGTCACATGAATTTGTGTTTTAATTTTAATTGCCTTTAAACACCTTGGTCGCATATAAAAATTAAGTGTGCTTTAAGGGGAAACCTTTGGATGGAAAATTACCCAATTACATATTCGAATGTGTACCAGTACTTAATATTTACCATTGAGATCTTTCATCACACCAGCTTTGCCCCCGTATTCATGAGGTAGACCTTCAGGCGGGAAGTAGTCGTTCATAAAATTGTTAATACCATCTTCACCTGCGTGTGATCGGATGATACGTCGCCAGGGGTAAAAACTCATGTGTAAGAGTAAGACGGTTATAGTTTTAAGCTTCTGTGTATTGATGATATGGATTTCTGAAAATCGGTGAGGGTACGCCGACTGAAAAAAATAAGTATATAGAGTACATTTCTTCAACTGATATAAACGTGAATACTTATTTACTTTGGAGCAGTGTTGGCCTGGTGACTTCAGCGTGCGACTCTCATACAGGTCGTAGGTTCGATCCCCGGCTGTACACCAATGGACTTTTGTTTCTATGTGCGCATTTAACATTTGCTCGTACGGTGAAGGAAAACATCGTGGGGAAACCGACATGTCTTAGACCCAAAAAGTCGACGGCGTGTGTCAGGCACTGGAGGCTGATCACCTACATGCCTATTAGATTTAAAAATGATCATGAAACAGATTCAGAAATCTGAGGCCAAGACCTAAAGAGGTTGTGGCGCCATTGATTTATTTTTACTTATTTACTTTATATTATGTCGTGAAGTGAAACACAGTCGTCAAAAAGGCTTTAGGTACCGCACTACAGTACATTCCGAACTTGAATCGCGATATATTGTTTGGAGTTGTCCATATATGTTCACTAACCTGCCCTAGCACCCTTAATGACTGCAATAGGTTAATGAAAGTTTACCTCATTAGTATATTCGAACCGCGGAGAGTACACCACTGGCATCCGCCCCCTGTAACTTCTAATAGCAATAGAGATTCCGATCCCGACTCCAAAATTGAGATTTTGTACCACGCGATCCCAACAGTGCGGCATCAGTACTATGAATTTTGAGAGAACAGCATTGAAATTTCATACAAACATCTCGGGATCGGTATCGCTATCGCTTTTGGAAATGTACGGGTGCCAATTCTTGGAGTGTTTACACAAAAATGCGACAGATAAAAATGTTTTTTATGTAAAATAGTTGCCGTACTTTCTACAACACGAAAGCAAGAATATAACTTCAAGAAGACATTTTGTTGAAACGGACAGTGTTTTACCTTCATACACCAAGCAAAATCTTTCCAATAACTCCCTTTGAACTGGCTTTTGAGATGCGCGGGTTGCAGGTCACATACGTCTATCATCACTACTTCATCACCTGGAGTTGGATCATCTCTTAACCTGTAAGTTTTAACCGACCATTTTATTGCTAGTTATGTAGTCTAATTTGAGATATTTTTGAGAGGTCCAAATAGTTCAATGTAATATATTTAAGTTACATTAAGGTTTTGTTATTTTATATTAAATACTAGTTCACGACCTCCAAAGGAGTGAAGGCCTCCTTCAAATTTTTCCACTTGACTCTCATCTTCGCTACTGTTTCTCACTACTTTCCCGCTATCTCTTTTATTTCATCTTCCCAAGTTTCTGTTACGAACCTGTCCTTTTGCTGCCCACAAAGCCATTCCAAGTCAAGCACTTCCAAGGGCAATGTGACATAATATATGAACGGCGCTACAATTTAAATACGCAATAGCTAAACAAGATCAATGGAAACTGCTGGATATTTATTTATTTACACTTCGTTGCATTACAATATAAAAATTTAACATAGTTAAATGTAAAGGAGGGCAACTGGCGGCCTTATCGCTTTCGAGCGATATCTTCCAGGCAACCACTGTGAGAAAAGAAAAAAAAAGGATTAAATTAGATATGGTAGGATATTGTGTGCCTATGATTTGGAATGTGTATGGTAATTTTTACTATCATTATATGTTTGGTTATTATCCCATTTTCACTTAGAACAGTAATATTGTAGTCTTTTCAATACGAGATAAATGAACATTATTTGATATAAATTAGGAAATTGTTTAGTGTTTTGTTTAGCAAGACTAATAAAGGGCTACCTTATGTCCAGGATCATGAGCCATCTTGCTAACAAGGCTTTTGGATTAAGTGGTTTGTTAAGCACTGTAGGTGCTGGTAGTTTGACAAATGTCAGTCGTCTACCTTCAGCGCTGCGGGTGCGTAGAGGTACTATGTATCTGAAATAGCATAAAGAGAGAATTAAAAGTAGGGACCTATGACACCTACATTAAAATCTTTTCTTAGATATGATATGAATTGCATTGTAACAAACAGGCACGAGCGAACACTATCAATGCGTATTTTAATAAAAAACTAACAAACTGTTTAACAACAAAAACGTTTTGTTACGCCCAGTTTATAAAAAGCTTTTCAACGCTTGAAGAACAAAAGCTACTGCCTCTTTTTTTTTTTACTTCCTTTTTTTTTTCTTTCCTTTTTCCCCCTTTTTTTTTTCCCCCCCCCAAATTTTCCCCCGCTTTTTTTTTTTTTTTTTTTTTTTTTTTTTTTTTTTTTCCCCCCCCCCCCTTTTTTCCCTTTTAAACGGTTTAAACCAGTGTTTCCTATCGTGGGTTCCACGCCCCATAGGCGATTTGATTGGTAGGGGTGGGGGGCATCGAAATCAGCTGAATATAACACAACGTGGAGACTTGAGACTGAAGCTAACCAAATAGGAACCCAATATAAAATATCTGTACAGCAAGCATCAAGAGCAAGGATCTCACTAAATTATTACAGAAAAATCGTTATTAAAATTATTTGGAATTATGTTTTCAAAATTTACTTATTGTTTCGTCAACAACATAATATATAAGGGGGCATAGGAATTAAAGGTTGGCATAGCACAAAAAAGGTTGAGAAACACTCGTTTAAACAGTATGTAAACTCAACATATTTCTTTTGTTTATTAAGTATCAGCAATTCACCTTTAGTCATTCAAACACTCTCATCAATTTGCAAATAACAGAGAAATAGTGCAGGTTTTATGTAATGAAAATTACTTTAATATAGGGAATTATACATGTACTTTTAAATATTATTTCCTTCATTTCGGTCTATGAACACCATCGACGCCTTTATTTACACTAAAAAAAACTTACACATCTTGACAGCTAGACAATATATCTTCATCGTCAGGTCTCCGCCGATGCCAAAGTTCAGTGAGTCCACCAGGCCCTCGAGCTGTGTAATATTTTCTGGCTCTTTTCGATGCTTCTGTCTCATCTCCACTACAGCTATTGAGTATAAGATCGAGGGTGAGGAGCTCTTCTGGTGAGGCTTTCCTTGTCAAGTTGTCTAAGGCCCATCGCTCGCCGAACGACGCTGCCGGGGACATCCTGAAATCTAAAAAGACTGTTGTTTACTTTACGTTAAATTTACTGCATTTTGTACTGGGGCCTGAGACACTAACGTGACCCACTAAGGCCAATCGAATTTGTATGGTCTCATACAATTTACGTCGCAGATTCAAGGAAAATAAAGATTGGGTTGCCATAAAATTCACTGATTCATAAATTTACACCAAATTATGAAATAAGTTTTTTTTTTCATATATATCGTGTATAGTGTGTACGAAAATCTCCATGCCTGGAGAGCGTAAATTAAAAAAAACCTTATGTAATAAACAGTCTAAACATACTTTATATAATAACGAAATATCGTAATTAATTATAATAACTATCTGTATTATATCTGTTTATTGATTATTATGTTGTCTACAAATTTACTAAAGTAAAATGTACGTACGTACCTACTAAATTTAGGTGCCAATAATTTAAAATATTACAAGTAAATGATTACTTGACTTGTGACGGCAGTCTTGTCACATTTACAAACATTTAATCTTTAACACCTTCAAGAACTAATTTTTAAGACCGTTCACCTTTATCCTCTGGGCATTGATTGTTGATTTCATCTAGAGTCATTCTTTTGAGTCTATCTTTGGACGGAGGCCACCTTCATTTTTATCCAATTTGACCGGCATTTCGCCTTTTGCATCCTGCATGCTTTGTGACGTCGTCTGTTAATATGACCCCCCTTCGTGTCAAGGTCATGATCTTAGTGACTACATTCTTACTACTTCATCGCGAATACGGTCGCGAAGGGAGATGCCCAGCATTGTTCTCTCTATGGTTCTCTGTGTGACTCTTATGCTCTCGGCTGATCGTTGTGTGAGCGTCATAGTTTCGACTCTGTATGTAAAGGCAGAAAGGATACATTGGTTGAAACCCTTTGTCGGGCGGAAGTTCCGTGCATAATATGCCGTTTGGCTCCGAAAGCCGCCTACGCGTGCGTTATGCATCTATCCACTTCAGGCTGGGCATTACAACCAAGCGTAATCTTAGATATAGTGTTTACTTTATCTACCGGTAATAGATGGAGTCTGAACCCCTCAAGGTCTTGGATCGTAGTAGTCATATCCGCTAAGTTGGCGGCAAATAGGGCTCTGCGCCTCTCAGGTTAGTAAGTCTTTCGCCATCGATATTCATTAATTCTCTGTTGTCCCAATGCAAGTTCTTGCATACGCTTTTGAGGGCTGTTGTGAACTGTGGCCAAATCTGTCTGGGCAAATCATAAGCCCCTGTCCCTCTTTACCCCTGTCTCAAGTCAAAGCCTGTAGGTTTTTTCATGTAACATTATACAGTACAGTGTAGTTAGTCACAGTGTTTCCGGACAATGAAGGGCGAAGTACAGTTATTAAAGGTTACGTTGACAATTATTTTGACATTTTGAATTGATTTATTCAATAAACATTTTGAAAAGAGAGAGTTATGTTACCACATTAGTGTCCACGCCATAGCCCCAATAGGATCATCAGCCTTACATATGCTACAAAACCGATAGATTAGGCTAATTCTAATTAAAAAAAAATATGATTCTAGATAGCCTATTTTACTATTATTTTTAATAATTTTCTAGGGTACCCCTGTGATCGACCCTTTTCGGCTATGGCATATAATATTTGCGTTGCGTTTTTGAGTCCCTTTTTGCACCTAGATTATTTAAAAGCATAATATTACAAATACTCAGAGACTCTATAATGTAAAGAAAAATATTATACTGTCGATGTACGTAATACAATATTCGCTCGATCCAATATAATTTACATGAGGTGTATGCGAATAGCCTACAGAATATTCCAACATATTTCCTCTTTCCAAATACAATTTGATTGCTTTTCTCGATGCCAATATCCGGTTTTATTCTTGTGACATGCGGGTTATGATATTTTTCGTAAAAAAAATTTTATTTTTTTTTTTTTAGGGGAAAAAAAAAAAAAGTAATTTGGTTTGTGGGGTTTGTTTTGGGGGGTGGTGGGGTCTTGAAATGTCAACAATTCATTGACATCAGGGTTATAGATATTTTTCTTTTTTTTTTGTGAAAAACTTTTAAGTGTGAAGCGAACTTGTTGTTAACTTAATTTTTTTTTTTTTTTTTATAGAACGGGGGCAAACGGGCAGGAGGTCACTGATTTATGTTTAGATACCCGCTATGGACTACCGGGGCTCGAGTTCGCCCCCCCCCACTTTTAAGCCAGAGATAACTTGAATCTCATTTATACTAGATTTATTCATACCGCACTTATATTATATGTAATTTGCTGTGTTATTGGTGGATTTTTTAAAGATTGTCTTAAGCTTTTAATTTCTTTTTATAGATCAGGGTGCAGACGAGGAGGAGGCTCCTCTGATGTTAAGTGATACCGCTCATGGACACTCACAATGCGTTTTCTCGCAAGTGCGTTGCCGGACTTTGAAGAATTGGTACGCTCTTTTCTTAAAGGAAAAAAAATTGTGTTATTGTTATCATAGGAAAAAGTTTTTAAGTTAGTAAAGTGTTGTGTTTATTTTCAGATCATGCTCTACGACCGACAGGTTCTTAAATAATCGAATTCGAATTGATGTGTTTATAATTTGAAAAAGTGCAGAAGAATCTGACTATGATGTATTTACAGGAAATGCTTACTGACGTAATTATATCTCAGTCTAAAGGTCAATATTGATTGCCGAATCGATTTGAATTTAGATATTTATCGATTGACGAATGGCGTCCAAACAAACAAAATTGAATCAAAAACAAAACAAATTGCGTATTCCAAAGATAAGTCTAGTTAGCTGTATGGTTTTTTTCTGATGCCATTCTCTTGCGAATAATGAGCACCTTGACATAAAGCTATTGTCCGTTTTTCTAAGGTCAATAACCGAGTAACGTTCTTTAATTTTAGTCATTATTTTTTTGCTACAATTATATGCTTCCGAGAAAATATAACAATATAAAATTATTATAAACAACTCCTCAATTATAACCGTTATGATTTGATGATTTGGAATTTTCTTATGTTACAGGAGACAAACAGGCAGGAGGCTCATCTAATGTTAAGTGATACCGCCGCCCATGGACACTCGCTCTGCCAGAAGGCTCGCAGGTGCGCTGCCAGCCTTTTAAGAATTGGTACGCTCTTTTCTTGAAGGACCCTAAGTCGAATTGGTTCAGAAATACTTCAGTGGGCAGCTGGTTCCACATAGTGGTGCTGAGCGAATGAAATTGCCTTAAGAAACGCTCAATTGTGGAACGACGGACGTCAAGGTATGGATGGTATTTTGAGAAAATGGTTAAGAGACATAAATCTCTCCAGATTACTAATTTAAATACTTCTCCGCTAAACAATAATTAAGTTAAATAATAGTATTTACTTTGTCTTAGATAATTACGAAGGAAGTAAGTAAAGGAAAATGTAAACTTCCCTTCATACGTTAAATTAATATTTAATAAATACATACACAATACTCAGTTTTATGAGTAGCCTCCCAGGCTATTAAATCATCACATTCATTATATTAAGGTTTATACTAATGAGTTTCTTGTTTGAATAACTAATTTCAATATTAATGCTCAATTTGCATATTGGTATTTTAATCGTTAGTTGGATTTAGTTATAACTCGATTAATTTAAGTTGTTAATGAAACTGGAATTCTATATGCAATTTTTAACGGTAGCAATCCAACGCGTGTTCTATAATAAATAAATAATGAATTATAATATAGATAATTTTGTACAAGTTTGGTTTTCTGTATCTTTTACCGCATTTACCATGAAGAGTATTCAGAGGAGTTGTTTGGACCTGCCGTAGAATACAAAATACCATCCGTATCACCTCATGTCTGTGAAGTTAGCAGAGCACGTACCGGCAGAGAACAAAAAAAATTGAATTCTGGCAGCACACTCAATAGTTCTATAGTTCCTGATAATTTTTAGAAAGAGTTCTGAAGAGTTCATAAATCGTAAAATGCTCTGCCAGCTTCCGATAAATAAGGTCTCACTAAAACAAACATTTGAATTGTAATAGTTCCCTATCATTTTAATCCAAAAATAAAAAGGTTAAATTATAAAAAAAATTAAGAAGAGTGAGAAAAAACTAAATAATGAGCAGTCTTCAAACATTTGACTAAATTAATAAAAAAACATATTGTACAGACATGGGAACTCCGCGGTTTCTATTAGTTCTACTAGATGTCTAGGCATTATAATTAAATCATAGGCCATAACTCTTCGATTTCTCTCAGCAGAGCATACCTCTATGATGAAAATTGGCAATTTTTTCACTTATTTTAGAAAACTTAAAAAATTATTAAGTTTTGGGTCTAGACATAGGAACTCCGCGGTTTCTATTAGATCTATTAGATGTCTGTTATACATGTACCTCTCACATGACCCATTATTCACATTCACTAAATGTCTTACGTGTAATGTCAAGGGTAGTCCGTGACAAAAGTGATATTTGGTTATCTATAGTCTATTATCACGACATAATGAACTGGTAAAAGTAACGATCGTGCCAAGTTATATTTTAGGCGATACTTAAGAGCTCCGTAGCATGCGATATATTTATAACATAAGGAATTTTACCAATGTTCTGCTATAAAAATTAGATAGTATATGTTTTAAGTTTTATTAATAAAAATAAGTCAGTGGCGCTACAACCTCTTTAGGTCTTGGCCTCGGATTTCTGAATCTGTTTCATGATCATTTTTAAATCTAATACGGCAAGTAGGTGATCAGCCTCCAGTGCCTGATACATGCCGTCGACTTTTTGGGTCGTTGGTCGGTAAGACATGTCGGTTTGCTCACGATGTTTTCCTTCACCATTCGAGCAAATGTTAAATGCGCACATAGAAAGAAAGTCCATTGGTGCACAGCCGGGGATCGAACCTACGACCTCAGGTATGAGATTCGCACGCTGAAGCCACTAGGCCAACACTGTTCAAGAGTTTAAGAGTTTAAGTTTTATTAGTTAGATAAAATACACAAAAGGTAATTGATTTTTTTTTTCGTTA